AAAATCATCAATGAGAAATAATTGTCTAAATAACTTTTTGTATAGATTTAAGCCTAATGTCTGGGACGTGTAATCCCTTGAACTCTTAAAGAAATATACTGCTGACTATACTCTTTGGTTGTACTTTCCTTTTGGGTGTTTAAGACCATACAGTTGGCCCAAATAAATCAATTTATTTTTACACTTAAGGTCATTTGAGGATCTGTTCCTTAGGGATCACATGGGCTTGGGGGCAGCTCCTGGCTCCTTTCCTTTACCAGTTCCATCCATGTGAAGATAAGTCAAAGGTCCTGCTCGACCATGTCTGGCTTCACTTGGAAGCATGAATGAGATGTTCCCTCTGAGTTGACCCTCTTCTTTGTATACTGGACACTGGTTCAAGTCCATCTCTTGGGGTCTCCATGGCCTCCCTGAACAACTGGACAGGTGACTCACCACAGTTACAGGACATTTTTGAGAGATGTTCCATAGTCCCCTGGAACTTAGTTGACCTTGGAGGGCAAGGGACAATAACTGTTCTTTAAGTCTCTCTGACCATATTAATGTAAGCCTCAAACTACGGCTGTTAAATAGCCAATAAGGTTAGTTCCACCAGTCTGGTACTTTTAATTATCATGTGCTATGTAAATAAGGCTTGGGTAAAAAAAACAAATATTCTCAGACAAACTTTGACTAAATATACATTTTGTTCCTTAAACTAGTTGACTAAACTATGACCATAGACATTTTTAAATTATGTGTATGTTATTTTTGTCTCATCCTTTAAATATCATAATAAACCTAAACAGACCTTCATCACTTGCTTAGGTTTTCTCATTTTTTTTCTATTTTAGAAAGTATCTCCATTTCCATATCCTTTTAGCATCTTTTACATTCTCGTTTTATTTTTTTTAATAATTATGAGGCACAATAGCATTAACAAATAAATTTTCCATTTGTTATGAAACTTCTCTTCTTAGGGAAGCTAAGCAATGCTTATTCCCTTTTAAGTTTATAGTGTTGAGCCAATGTTTGATTAAAGTTTTACTGGGGAACCAATGAATTTATTGAGCTACTTATCAAGATAGCTGAGGGGTTACTGAGGCGTATGTATGACCTGAGGGTATGCACCTGGAAAGCCTTTACCCAGTATGGGTCATGCCTTCTCTTCCTAGCCTTCCCCAGATTGCATATTTTAGCCCTCCCCAAATCCAGGAGGCCATGTGTGATTAGAGTCAAATTACATTCAGTTGGCTGGGAAGAGTGGCTGGATAATGTGGTGATGTTCGATCATCCTGCTTGGCCCTCCTTTAATGAATGAGCACAACCATCAAAGAGCCCAATTGTGATGATGTTTAGCAATCACGCTCAAGTGGAGTCATGATGATGGTAGTTGTTTCATGCAGAAGGGACTGCTGTACAGCATCATCTTATTAAAAGGACCTGGAATTTAAAAGGATTTGGTGCTAGGATCACATATGAGGGAGAACACAGGTTGGTTGTTTTTTCTGAATCTAGTGTTACTTAACTTAGTATAACAGTTTCTAGAGCAATCTATTTACCTGCAAATTTCACTATTTCATCTTTCTTTACTGCTGAATAGAACTCCACTGTGTAAATATAGCACATTTTTGTTAACCACTTGTCAGTTGAGGGGCACTTGGGTTGCTTCTATCTCTTAGCTATTGTGAAAAGAGCAGCAACAAACATGGTTGTACAAGTGTCTCTACAATAGGATGAGTTTTTTGGGTATATTCTTGGCACTTTTCTAATGAGAGTAAATCCAGCAGGATGGACATAAATCTGGGTCTTTCTAGCCAGTGACTAAAGTCATTCAGAATTAAGTTCCTATTCCCCGATGGCCTACTGAATGAAATCAGTTTACCTCTCAGAGTCTCAAGATCCACTGTCTATGCAAATTAATGTTTTTTTTTTTTTTTTTAATCTTGCTTGGTGGTTGTTTGTTCTGACTGTGTTGGTGTTCTGGAAAGAATAGAAAACTGTGTACATGGCTTCCTTGTACCAGCCCCTGAAGTGGAGCTGGGTGGACCTGGCTGTTACTTCTGCTTTCCTGGGCAGCACGACCCATGGTTCCGGATCAGCAGGCACAGAGAACAGGATTTTAAGTATTGAAGCAAATCGCTCCTTTCAATTAAAAGACTGATGCATTTATAGGCAGTTGGTGAATGACTGGGGGGCTTTCAAAGACTGGTAGACTTTTTGAGATATTGAGGTAGATATTATAATGCTGTATCTTACATAAAATGAATGCTTAGTAAATGTTCATTACATTTTTAAAGCACACTGTGTAATGATTTGACAAGGTCTGTGCAAGCTGTGATGATGAATTTAAACCAGGAAGATAAATGCCAATGGAAATAAGTATCACATTCTAATTTTAGACTGATACAATGATAAGGGTGTCTTATGTTTTTATAAATTTTCATAGATTATGAATCTTTTATTCATGCTACCCAAAGGCCATGTTCCTGTATTATCATTCCCAACAAATGAAGAAAGCATAATACAAAGACCTTACCCAGCTTGCCAAAGTCACGCATCCAGTAAGTTGCCAACTGAAATTAAAGTTGGTTCTGAGTTTAAGTCCCAAGCCCTTCCTTCCTAAGATATATTAAGACCTTGCATGTGAAGGAAGGAACCATTTGTGTTTGGATGGAAGGAGCTCTTCATTACACCTTTGGAGGGCAGCAATTTTATTACATTCATGAAAATATGTCATGGAGAACAAGGCTGCAATGCCACCAGATTGCACCTTGGTCAGACCACATCTGAAGCATACACTGTATGCTTCTAATCATTGTAAAGCAGAGATGGCACAAGAAATGCAGACTATGAGAGAAGGCTGTGGGAATTTGTATGGTGGTTAAAGTTCTGAAAAACATGCCTTGTCAGCAGCAGCTGAAGGAATTCAAAATGCTCATCCTAGAAGAAAAAATACAAGGTTTGGAGGTGGTGGTTGACATGAGCAAAGAAAACACATTCTCTAGAGCAGATACACTCTGGCCTCTGGAGCTGTAGGTATGATCTCTTTGACCTTGCAGTCTTCAGACCTAGGACACAATAGAAAGGAAAGTTTAAAGTGTTATGAGTTACAACCTCTAAATGACTAAGCAGGTTGACTAGTCCCCTTGCCACAGGTGACATAGTCATGTTTGATAGCAGGTAGGAAAGTGATAATTAAAGGTCATTTCTAAGAGCCTCTA